CAGGGAGCCGTTTTTCACCTCTTGGAACTGCTTATATTTTTATTAACATTTTTCTAATTCAAGATGCCTATATTTGATTTGCTCTGTTTTGTTAATCTTGTAGAGAAGTGCTGGCTTATGTTAGCTGCTGTGACGGTTTAATACCGTTTGTAGATAAGTTCACAATCAGCTGTTTTTTGTCTCCAACTGTTTTTGCTTTACCTGCAGTTCAGTTTACAACAGCCTCAGTGCTCTTTGGAAGTTACCATCGTCTTGCTCTAGAGGTCTGGAAGGCTGAAAGTTGGACTGATTTGGAGATTTGAGCTTTTGAAGGTCATAAGAGATGTTTGGCTCTTGCTGTGTCCAACTGTGTGGAACGAGGAGCTGGACTGAACCTGCTGAAATTGAAACCAGAGCTCGATGAGCTGTGCTGAAGTGTGAAATTGAAGGCTAATCTAAATATTTTTTAAGAGATATTTCAGTTAAATATGGACAAAGACTTACCTTGGAGTTTCAAGTACTTCAAGTTGAAAAACATAGTCTTGCTTTCCTGAGCCCTAGGATGACTCTGACTCACTCTTTCTCTTGGACACCAGGTGAGGATTTGAGCAGTGGGATGAGCTGGAGGGGCAACAGGCAGTACGACTGTTGACTCTCTATCTTTTATCCCCAGACCAGTTTCCTGATGCCAAGGGAAAATCTATATGTGCCTTGTGTATACAGCATACCCTGATGTACATAGATGTCTATGGACTCATTTTGAGAAGGTCTGTGTAACGTGAGCAGCCTTGTTATTGAGAACTACTCTATTCCACAGAGCTTTTTGGTTTTTGTACTGAGTTATCATTTTCCCATAGAAGATGCTAGAGTGTGGAGAGAAAAAAAAAAAGCCCTCTTCAGGTCTACTCATCAGTCATGAGTCTGATCATCTCTGGGAGGTGGCCAGGTGGCTAGAATTGACCATAAGATAATTTTTCATTTCTGTGCCTTAAGTTCACTGCACACCAAATTGTTAAAGCTGCCAGTGGCGGTGAGGAGCTGAAACATCAGCTGAAATCTTCACAGAGTAAAATTATCTTGGCTATGCTATATAAATATATGTATGTATTTTTCTAGTCATGCTCTCCAAGCTGACATCGGAGCGGAAATTGGTATGGGAAGGTAACTATTAGCTCTGCTCCAAGAGGCCACCATCCTTTGCACTGAATACCTGCATGCAGGACCACATATTCAGCTTTATGGATGAAATTTGCCAGATCCTCAAATGCTTTTGCTCGTGACCATATTTGAAAATCAGAGAAGGTGATGACCCTTTTAAAATAAAAATGGAATTGCTGGCAGGAAGGGAAGGTACAACTCTGTGTTCTTAACATTTAAAGATGGTTATAAAAATGTGTATTGGCTGGTTTTATAATTTATAGTGAAACTGATGTTGCTTTTAATAAAATGAACCTTCCAGTCAGAAATTCATGATTATGAATGTGAACATTTTGTTACCCAGCTTGGATTTATCTTACAAATAAACGTTTTCTACCAGAACTGGAGCTACCTACGTAACTTAATGAGATTCTCTGTCACACATAATTCTTTCTGAAGTTATAGCATTGTACTCATGGTTCAATACTTCAAGTCCTTCAGTGTGGCTCAAGAACTGAGTTAGTGGTAACTTTCATGATTTTTAATTTAATTTTTCCTTAATTCTTAGACTTTTTAAACTTCCTGTAATTCATTACTAGATTTACTGTTTCAAGTACTTATTTAAAAGGCACCTTAGCTGCAGAAGCAAATCAATATTTACAGTGCGTTAGTGCCACAGAGAATTTGAAGCCTTGTGATTAGAGTTCATTGCTGTTTTATCCACTCTTCAAAGAAACCACAGACTTCAAACAGTATCAGCCATCATCCTGGAATCAGTGACATTGCATCCGTCCCATGCGTACTTCATCTTGTGGTTTAATTATTAAGTTCTTTTCCTTTGATTTTTTTTTTTAATATTTCAAAGTGTATCATCTTCAATTCTCTAAATTCAAGTAAACAGAAGATTGTAACTAACAATATATTGGTAGAAAAATCTGTTTGATATATTATTTTATGTTGGTTTAATGGAGAGTATCAAAACTGAGCTAGAGTGGTCTCTCAGAATAGAATCGGAGAGAAGAATGCAGGAGATTATATTTACAACTTGTTGCGAATGAAGTTTAATTCTTGGGTTAATCCCTGGATCATTGCTAAACAGGATACGCTAAAGCTAGCTCTGTGTGCTTGTCCCATTCTAGCAATAAAAAATAATAATTGCCATATGACCAAATTTCTAGTTTAACTGGGAAATACGTAGATCCACCACACATGAATTACTGTCTTTTAAAATTCACCTTATTATAATGTTTAGTTATACAAATCACTTTTCCTTATGTATGGAACCATTTTCATAAGGAGAGACTAGAACTGATCACTCTGTATCTTTATATTGACAGAATACCTTTTCGGGAGGGGAAGAGATTGGAGGAAGTGTTTAATAACTCTGAAAATATCTCAAGAACTAACCTGAGTTAAAGGAAATGGTTGTAGATTTTGCAGAGAAAGTTCTTATGTTTTCTCTCGAGCATATTAATATTTGGGAATTCTATTGCATAAGTAACTTCCTGTATTGTGAAAAGTCTCTGCTACTTACCGTGGTGCAAGCTGTCAGGTTTTCGCTAGAAAGCAAAAGGCAAGGCAGCCATAATTGCTTGCTTCTCTCCAGAATTGCTGTTTTGAGTTCCAGTTTCTTCTTTTCTTTCTTTGTTCGCAATTTGGTTTCTCTTCTTATGGAAGTTCACCCAATTGAACTTTTGTTTTGTCGAGCAATTTGGAGAAAAAGTGTAAAAATACAAGAACATTTTGCTATCACTGTGCTTATATATAGATGTAGGAGCATAAGGAGCAAGTGAACTCATGTTTGAAAATTCTAAATCTCTGCTGTAGGGTGGGTAGCTCAGTCAAGCAGGATAATATTCATGGGCTGCTGCTTGGAACAAATAGAGATTACTGGTTTTCTTCAGTGGTGCTACACACTACAGAGCCCAGGCTACTTGAATAAAGGAGAGTGGACATTCAGGCACCTCTGTTCGTGGGGCTGTGGCTGGGGCTGCAGCTGTTCTCGGGATCTCTGGCGACACGATAGTTTTTTCTGTGACATTTGCAGTCTAGGGGGAGATGAGAGGCTTCACCTTCAGCTGCTTCGTGAAACTTGAAGTAGTTGAAGAAAGGCAATCAAAGAAGAATCCTCTATTATGAGTTTATAAGTATATACTGAGTAATCAAAATCGGAGTAGAGTTGACTCAGATCATAGATATTTTTCTGTTTAATTAAAATTTTCTTTCCTGAAGTATTCTTTTAATTAATTCTAGTTCCATTATACACACATTTATGTGTATATACATATGTATGTGTATGAATATGTGTATATATATTTATAAAAGAAACATTTTATTTGCTGGAAATTAACTCTTGTGGATATCTTGGTGTGAACATAAAATGAAAAGTCAAAGGAAAGGGAACTAGTTCCATAAGTGCAGGGAAAAAACATTAATTAATTGTTTGTTGTTCTTGTTTACCAGAATGAACATGGAAGAGTGACTGCTTGTTGTTTGGTCTCTCAGCAGCAGGATCCTAGCTGATAAAAAAACATTGCTCACACTTTTTCATTCTGAGCCATGCTCTATTTCTCAGTGTCTTTATAATACTGTATAAAATAAGATAATTTAAATATTATTATATGTGGCATTAATAGAAAGATACCGTAAAGCTTAAGACCAATCATCTAACAATCTCCTGTCGTCGTGTTTTCCTTCTGGTATTGTGAGACAAGCAGCTTCGGCTTCCTCAGGGACTGTTCTATCCGAGCACTAAAACATACTCCTGGTTTTCATTCTCAGGTGTTGCCCAGCGTGCCTCTCCCCCAACTCTGCTGCTTACAGGCCATAGCTTTCACCTTTTACTTTGCCACTTTGCATTCAAGGTTCCCAGTGCAGCAGTAAAGAGAAATCCAGCTGATAAATCACATCCCCTCCTTTCTGATGCTGAGTGGAAGAGTGCTAAGAGGTCACAAATTCAGGCAGTGAAACTTCTGTTTGGGCAAACAGCCGATAGACGTGTGGATATCTGTTCTAAGATAATAAATGAAATTGGAAAAAAAAAAGTTGTATTTCAAGAGAAACTAACTTTAATGTGCCATCAAACTTTCCAGAATGGATTTGACCTCTACTTGTATTAAAAAATACTATCTCCTTCCAATCAGCCTACCTGCCTGCTGCATCATTTATTACTAATGAAATATTTTTCTCCTGTCTGTCATGCCAGCTGGAAGGCTAAGGGAATCAGGGTAAATCAGCAGAGATCTTGTTTCAGCTGTTAGGAAGAGGCAAAGGGAGAATGCAGATTAGAAAACCGTCACTTCCATAAGTTTTGAGAAGGAAATGGAGAGTATATTTTAGCAGGCGAGGGGGCTGCCTTTTGCTACAGGGAGGCTGGGGTGTAAGCGTGTTATGCTGGCAGTGCCCACGCTGCAGCTGTGGCAGTGGGGTGGGGGACGCATCATCCCAGTGCACCCCTTACTTTGTCACCAGGCTATGGAATTTCAGCCTTTGCCTGTTTGCTTTTTAAAATACCTGAAAGTAACCCTTGCCTCTTAGTTGCTCAAGCTTGTGCTGGTTTGGGTTTTATTTATTTATTTATTTTATACAACAACCAACAGATAGTAGCGATGCTATGTTTATAGCTGTAAAGCTAAGGAGCTGTGCTAGCTTCAAAGAGTCTGCATTTGCCCTCGTTTTCTCCTTGTGCGGCGAAGCGGCAAGGCTGTGGTTTTGAGGCAGCAGACCTTGTCCTTGAGGGAGCTATGCTGAGGTCAATAACTCTTTACTCTGTGAAACCACATTTGGTCAAAACCACCCATCCAGAGCTTGAAAAAATATTTTTCCTATGTGAAAAACATTTTCAATCTAGTCAGTGTTTATTTACTGTCTGTTTCATTCTTCAGATATGCCTCTTCATGTCCGACGTAGTAGTGACCCTGCACTGATTGGCCTCTCAACCTCTGTAAGTGACACAAATTTTTCTTCAGAAGAGCCTTCACGGAAAAACCCTACAAGGTGGTCCACAACAGCAGGATTTCTCAAGCAGAACACCCCGGGTGTACCCAGTGCTCATGAAAGAAAGGTATATTTCTTTCCCTGTCTTTATCCAACGTGCATGAATCTTGAATTGTGGTTTTGTCCTTCTCTCACCTGCTTCTGGTTTCAATTTGTGTGTTCTGACCTTGTCCACCAAACCCTGTCATCATCAGAGGAGTGTGTGAATCACACACTTATCCTGCCCTTCAGAGACTCTCAGTGATGCCCACAGCAGGGGCTCTAAAAACTTGATTTTTGCCATTAACTGTTATTGAAGCTCTGATTACTCATTACTGTGCAAAGCAGGGCCTAAATGCTTGTCACACATTTTCTTTGAATGCAAATAGGCCATCTCTGTAATGATTTTTACTCATCTTCCTAGAAGTTCTAATGCCAGTGAATAATCTTGCATTCCCACAACTGGTCTGGTCTTTCTGACACAGCGTGGCTTTTTTTTACTTTCTAGTCAGTAACACAAAACAGATTGCAAATGCTGTCTCCTTGATAACATTTTTAAAACTAAAGCAGTGAAATGTAGAGTATTTCTTCAATATGATTTCAGTATCTCTACATAAATTGCATTATTAGCTAGAGAAGTCAGCAGGTAGCTCTCTTCGCAGTGCATGATTGGAAAAAAACTCAAAAAGGAAGAAATACAGCCTGTGACATTACCTGTAATTGTGATGGTAACCTGAAGACAAATTTGAAAGGAGAAACTTAAGTATATTTTCCAACAGAAACTAGTAATTTTTAGAGAAAGTTGCATTTTCAGTTACAATTCTGACTGCACAGCACAAATTCCTGTTGGAAAATATACAACTTACAGTAGCTGTTTTATTTTTTGTTAGTATTAGTAATTCTGTGTAGTATAAATGCAAACTAAAACTCTATGGCAGAACTGCCACACCTCAGATGAAATCTTTACATGCTGCTAATGAACAGAACTATCTTTGGTAGGCTTTTGGTTTATTTCAAAACCATGTATAAAAGCACCATGCCCATAGGTGCTGAGGTCCACATTCTTACGGAAGTGTCAGTTTAATATGTTATTTTTCGGTCCCTGCTTGAGCTGGCTTTCAGGCTGGTAACAGTATGTTTTCTGTCACTCGTACGGGTATGGCACAGGAGTGCATGTTGTTTTGAAAAATGTCTTCATAGGATTCTGAGTTAGAGAAGAAAAATGGTAATCTAATTTATTTGAAGTGTTAGCATTTTCAGTTAATTTTTCTGAAATGATGAGACTGCACTTCATTACTCCAAAAGCGTGGATATGGAGGGTTATACGTAGCATAATCAGATTTCTTTGAGTTAGCAGAAATTGGAGAGAACTGAGCAGCAGCTAATCTTTCACACTAGCCGTCTTGCATTGTTAGTTGTTCAGCATGTACTTACTCTTGATTTTTGTGAAAATATTTCATGTCTACTGGAGCATGGTGACCAAACTGGAAAGGAATGCATGTGATCTCATGTAGTGGTGGGAGGCAAAGCACAAGAGAACATTAAATCAATAAAATGAGAATAAACTAACATAGATTAGTTAGTAAAATAGTGATAATTTCTTCTACGTTGTTTGCACACTCTTTCAATCCTTTGAGTAGAGCAGATTGTCAGGTGCACTATTTTTAACAGATAAGATGGAATAAACAGCTGGAATTAAATAATAATACCCCGTGCAACATATGTTATGCATTAATCTCGAGTTCAGTTGTGCTAGACTGTTACTTCAGTTTTCAGCATCTTGAGTTCTTCACGTGAGTCAAAGCTATTTCTCTTAGGAATGAATATCAAGAATTCTTCTTTGTTTTCCCAGTGATAGCAACAATTTCATTTGTAAACTTTATTCTAAAAGGTGTGTTTTTGAAGTCGCTGTCACTATTCACTTAGCAAAGTACTGATACTGAACTTTTGCAAATGTATTTTGGTTATTTGAACTGTAACAAGTCCTCACTACTTTTCTTAAGTTAAATTGTTTTCTTCAGCTACTCAGATAACAAAGAGATGGCTGTACTTTGTTCCAGACTGTTTCATTGATTATAGGTGACACAGACATTTCAAGCAAAGCAATGAGAACAATCTTAATTTTCTGCTCAGTGCATTGGACTTGAGCACCCATATATCTTTTGTGGGCGGTTGGCACTACGTAATGTTTTCACTGCAGTTCTCTCTCTTGACAGCGCAAGAACATATGTTCTTGGGCTGAGATTTGCAGCACAGTTGTAGATGAGCAACTTTGCCCCAGCAGTATCTTGCAGAAACAAGAAAAGCATTTCTGGGAGAATTGCCAAAAGCTTCATCCACCTACTGACTCTAAGAAGTGACATTACTTTCAGCCCGTCACCTCTAAAGAGAAATAATTGACAGGTAGAAACCCTATCCAATTTCTGGAGGAATTAGCAGAGGGAAACTGCATGTATCTGGCAGAGGGGATTTATTTCTCAGGGGCAAGCGAGAGAAGACTTCTTATTGGTATTTGTTTCATTGTGGGTAAGAAGAATTTGGAATGGCAGGAAAACGGGCAGATGCCCAAGCTGAAATGAAATGAAGGGGTGGGAGTGCTGCCGTGCACCAAAGGCTGTGAGGAGCCAGGACATATGCCAGTAGTTCTGGGCAAACAGAAAGGGAAAAGGGCACTGGGGAGGAGGAAAAATACGGGATGTTTGAAGGATCCGTTTGAAGAAATGCTATCCTGCCTGTAGTTGTTAGGCTGGATGAAGCAGGACATCAGGCTGTCCTGTGCCCTTTGGGCAAGAAGAGAATGACCAGAAAGTCACAGAGCTTGATTTGGACGGGCCCGAGAAGGTCCTGTGAAGATCTGCATGTGTGTTGAACTTGAGATGCGTTTCTGCTACAGTAACTAGGATGTTTTGGTATGAAACCCCTTACACTAAACTGAATGTGCTTTCTCATCCATGTTTCGTTATCATCTCACTGTAAAGAAACATCATAGTTACAGTCAGGATATCACAATACGCTCCGTATTTCCTTAGAACTGGGATCTCGATAATTTCTGGTTTCTGTGTTGTTCACCTGTAAGAGCAACTTGAAACCAGATGTTCTGTGTCCCAAAGTACTTATTTATGTGAAGAATTATCATTATTATGGATTATTTACAAGTGTCGTATAGTAGTGTTGGTCACTGTACTCAGCTAGGTAATTCCTGAACTTGCCCTTCTGTATTTTTCCCATGAGCAGTCTCAACCACATCATTAGGTCTCCTCAACTGTGCAAGTACTCACCAAATTGGCTCATGATTATCAGAAGCTTTAGTAGGTAGGTAGGTAAATTCACTTCTTGGGAATTTTTTTTTTTTAAACTGAATATTAAAATCACTTTCAGATAGGTTTTTTTGTGTGTCAGACATATCTGTATTACCCAGTGATTCACGGCTTGACTTAATGCTGTCTCTTGCTTCCTCGAGCCATTCTAGTGAAACAAGAAGAAATCTCTTAGTAAAAATATCTTCTCAAAGGCCTGCAGTAATACCTGATTTGCAAGCTGTAATTTTGTTTGAATTGTGTTGAGCTGTACGGCTGAACAGATTGTGTGCAGCCGAAGCATATCATGTGTGCTTTTTTTCCACTGCAGTAAAATGTTTTTTGATATTGTTGTTTCCTGAATAACTGTTAGTTTGAATCACATTCTTAATAATTCAGTACCAAAGCCTAGTGCCTTAACTAGCTGTCTTTAATAGGTGTGAGCTACATTAATGAAAATCATGTTTCTTTTTGCTTAGATCTTTGTGTTACTGGAAGAATACAAATGCAATAGCCAGATATATTGTGCCTTATAATGGCCGTGAATTAATTATCCCATATATTTTCAGTGTGGGTTTTTTTTTTTTTAAATTTGCATCTCCCATTTGTGATGAGGAGTTGCATACAATTACAAATCAGTTATCTGCTTTGATCCTGCTTCTCTGAAAGAACTGAGGCTTATCTATTTAACCTGCCTTGCTTGATGCGGGGATATATCATGGCTATCTGACTTATGAAAAATGTCCCAGTGTGACTTTTCTGAATTTGATTTATATATTGTTACATCAGATTGGTACAGCAGAAAAAAAGTGAAAATGTACAGTAAGGAGAACCCAAGTGAGAGCAATGAGAGAGGAAAAAAATGATTGTGCATGGGCTCCTGTGCCTGCCTCCCTCGCTCCTGGGTTCATCCATGTGGAGCAAAGCAAATGACATGCAGTGTGCTCTGAGGGGTGGATCAGCAACAGCAAACACATATAGCTGAGGGTACTTCCCACAAAAGTTGTATTTTCTTCTATTCTCTTTTTGCCTTTTTTCTTTTTTTTGCCTTTCTTTTGCCTTTACCATGTAGTCAGCAGCTGCATTTTTTTGCTTGCTCGTTTGTAAATGGGTGTGTCCATATATGTGTTTTGAGGTTGAAAATAGCCATGCCTTGTAGGAATAATTATTTTTAGGTCGTGCTTTCTTCCTACTTGAAACCATAATCTGTTTGGGCTCTGTACACTGCAGAGGAAGAATTTGAAACCTTGTGGGAGTGATGCAAGTCTCATTTAGTGTCAAATCTCTGACCTGTCAAGTGCTGTGTTTCCCACATCTCTTCTTGCAGGTATTTTTGCTGATCCTGTGGATTGAGACTGATGAGTACAAATTTTTAGATTGTTGGACTGTAGGTCTTTTTTATTTATGTGAAAGATATGATGCTAATAATTTTTGTAAACAGAATAAAAAAATTCTCAAATTAAGTATCTTCAGATAAGAGAAAAGCGTGCATGTATTATGTGAAAAGCAACAATAATGGTATGACAGTCTCAAAATCGGATTTAAAATGAAAATTAGTTTTATCTTTGAATCTTTTAAAATGCAACTTAGTGAAGTTTACTTCATCACTGTCACTGAAGACACGATATTCAGTAGATTTTAACTGTAATTCAGGGGACTGAAGAGCCCTGTATTAGAACTCTCTGCGTTAGTGTCACTTTATAGCCAGGGAGTCTGAATTGCAGAGTGTAAATCGATTATATTGATTAGTGGTGACTGTGGTCTGAAAAACTGGGTGTCATTATGGGAACAA